GAAACAGTACCGTTACTTTTAATGACTAGTGTGGAGAATTATCCGTTCTCCACTCTGCGTTCTTGATGTATGAGGTTGAAGGAGCGTCAGCGAGTTGAATTTATGAATTTCATTTGTTAATGCCAAAATACCATTTCTGGTCCATTTCTGGTGCTACCTTTTGGAGCTAGCAGGACAAAAGAGAGGAACCTCGCTGCAGCAAACAGTAAGGGGCGTGGACGGACCGCTGTCAGTCTCATACCTTATTTGGAAACGGGACCATTGCACTCCAGAAGTGAAGGGGGCGCTATTTCCTATCGTATCCGCGGTCTCCCGTTTTTATTTCCTTTTGGAATCTGTGATACATCTTCACCTTTAGGAAGTAGTTTCACTTTCAGCATGTATTTGAACTTTTCTCTTTAATTTACTACAGCGCAGCTCACAGTGTTGAACAAATTCTGTGGCTTTCGGTGTATTTCTAAATCTGCTCCTCAGTCGCATCTTTTCAGGCTTGCTACTGCCTCTAGTGGCGTTCAGGTGGTAACACAACTAATTCAATTACGTCACTAAATCAGAATACCACAGATTTATCTGGCAAGTTAAATAAATGTTATTTGCTATCCTTTTAAGAGAATCACATTATTTGAAGGGATTTATTGTGTTGCTACCTGACCCAGTTTTCTTGTGAAGTACACCACAACATGAAGCTTAATCAGACATTAAGGGGAGTTTTATGCAGGTTCTAAGAATGTTTGACATTAAGTTGTATTTATGAATGATTTATCGGTATTTCAGCAGACTGTCGTCCAATCGATCGACCTGTTCGCACTACAGACCATCTCACTTCCACAGATTTGTTTCTACTTTGCTAGCAAAAAAAACACCTTGACGCAAACTGAGTGCATGAATCCTAGACTCTGTGCTTTCATTTGTTTATCTGTTTGCCGCCAGTAAATGATTTGCTCATCGCAAGCTTATAGGCTGCCGAGTGGAGAGTTTGGAAAACGAGACTAATTTGTGGCTTGATTAAGGCGAAAGGCCGAACCGGTGACCCGGTGAAGCAGCTGATCATCCCCGCTCCATCACCAGGTGATTATTTTCGCCCTCCGTTCGACAGATCCGATCCTCTCAGAAAGGATTACGCTGAAGCTAAGCTCGCTGTGCCACTTACTGAGAGGAGAGCGACGCAGAGACACATGAGGAGTCACGGTTTCTGCCAAACATGTGGAGGGAAAATGAACGCAGAGGAAGACATGAGCTGAAAATGGCTCCAATCCGGATTGGGAACATCGATGATGTGAGAGTTTTATGTCCCTCTGGTACCTGAAACCAGGATGTCCTGTTAGATATCAACTCTTTTAAGTTCAAATATCATAATACGTTTTTTTAAAAAATCTATTTAGAAAGTTATTCAACTGTTGTTCAACTTGGCATTGCATATCAGGCAGCTAGGACTCTCACTGCCATCCTGTTTGGTGATACACATGAATCCATGTTGTACATATTCGTCTGACTAATTTCTTTTTTTTTGCTTGACATGTTTGGTATGGATTACAATATTGAGAAAGAAACCATACGACGTACAACTACAGCAGCAGTTGAATACTGTGCACTAAATAAACGACAGCGTCGACTATGACGCTGTCGTTTTCCCTTTTGAGGATGACAACGACAGCCCCATTGAGCCGGAAGATGTACCAACAAAGATCCAGGAGGAATCAAGTCCTTCCGGCAACTTTAATCAATGCAATTGGCAGAAATACAACCAAACACTATGTCATCATTATTTATTTATAGAATTATTTAGAAAACAAAATGTTATTCGAGTTTGTCAAAACTATTTTGACCCATATTAGAACTTTGCATTGATTTCCCTTCATTTTAGTAGCTGTTGATTTTGCCCAATCCACAATTTCCCTAACCCTAGCCAATACTAGTCTATTCCTAACCCTACCATTAACTAAAACTTAATTTGGATCTTGCCTCTAAACATTACCCCTGACCCAAATCAATGAGTCCATCATATTAGGACCAGACTTTAGTCCTAATATGATGGAACTAATGCAGTGTTTCTCAATTCCCCTCTTCAGGCGGATGCCCTGCATGCTCTGCATCTAAAACATGCAGACCAGGGGCCTGAGGACTGGAACTGGGAAACACTGACCTAATGTGACACTGGACATATAATGGTGCGTTCACACCAAATGCGTTTTGAGCGTCAGCCACGTCTGGTTTGCATTCAATGTCTATGTTGAGGCACGTCAAGGGCTGTTGCTGTTTCAACCGTCTAGCGAGCGTCTAGCGCGGCGCGATTCGAACCATTTGGAGCGTTCGACACATCTAGCGCATCCAACACTCCACATAGACTTTGAATGTAAACCAGACTCGCTTGTCGCCCAAAACGTGTTTGGTGTGAACGGACCAGTAGAATGTTCAGTTCCACTGGTAACAATGACATCACTCTTTGATGCACCAAATGAATCTCTCTCCTGAGTGAAGCACACAGGCTGTTTTTACAGACCTGTTCCTGTTTCAGACTTTTAAGTTATGAATCTTCTACAGGAGCATTGTTCAAATTATTTGAAGGCAGAATCAGCCCAGTGCAGTTTCACATTGAGCTCTTCATATTTAGTTGAATATCTCTATTGTGTACATAGCTGCTTGGCCCCAGAGTGGCATAGCAGCAAACATGTCAGGTCAAACACAACGAAGCTAAATATAAAGCTGCTGTTATGTTCAATAACTTAATATCAAGCGGAAAATGTCCTTTATTTCAAAACTCCAGCCATCTTCTGATTTCTGTGACGTTGACAAAAAAACGGTCAGAAAAAAGCTGACGGAAAACAAATCTGGTCATTTGACAAATGATCACGTTTCCAGCGGTTTCGCTTCCTCCTTTGGTCGATGACGACTGAAAATACAGTGTCATTCTGTACTGCAGCAGCATTTGGGTTCATCTGAAATTTGCTGCTGAAAGATTTGGTTTATGTGTTTCACTCATTTTGATTTGCTTTTCCTAATCGTCCAGGTCAGGAGGGTCAAACGCCTTTTCATTTTGGGCCACATCAAAAAAATCCAAATGTTCTCAAAGGGCCAGAATGTAAAACAAAAATAAAACACATTCAATTGTTAAAATGTCAACAAATAGCTGTTTCAACACTCTATAAATGTTCATTAAGATAAAATAACATTAAGCATTTCTTCAGTCCGTCCAGCATGGTGGGATTTTCTTGTGGGTTTTTTTCTGCAATCAAAATTACATATTTTGGTAATTTAGAAATGTTTGTAAGGGATTTTTACAATATTTGTGCTGATGTGTGACATCAAAGGTGACTTTTTATTAATCGCCACATCGATCATGGACTGTAACTTGACATCAAGTAACGCTGAGGCGGCAGTCACTTAAACCGATTGTTTTTGGTTTTTTTTTTTCTTTTTCTTTGCTTTTTTTGGCTAATTTTAAGAAAAAAAATTCAGTAAAATCAGAAAGAATGTGGGAATCTGTCGATTTTGTGAGTATTTTGTGTGGATTTTTGCAGATTTGAGTAAAACTGGAGGGACTTCCAGATGTTATTTGGAGTCTAGAGGGCCACAAAAAGAGCCACAGTGGGCCAGGTTTGGCCCCCGGGCCTCCGGTTTGACACGCGTCTGGAAAATAAAACGACGTTAGAAATGTGACGGCCTGGGAACTTTGATTATTTTCTAATCTGGATTTGTGCTTTATTTCTTCCACTTCTGTTTTCTTTGAGTCTTTACATTTTCTGAGCTTCTTCTGTGGTTTTTTCCAATGTCCCATTTAATCATTTATAAGTTTAATAAAATGTTAATTTTACTTGTTTATTGTCCTGTCACTGTTGCTCCGGCTGAGTAATTTCTAATTGTTTAGTTAGTAACCTTGACTTCTACTTTCTCAGAAAGGAATGAGTTTTATAAAAAACAGACCATAACAATGTCTTTAGAAAAAAGACAACTTGTGATTTTGATCAAAATTTGTCATTTTTTAAAAAAAGAAAATTTTTACTTCTATTATTTGGATTTAAATAGAGAACAACAAACTTTTGTATGACTGGGTGCATTTTCTTCTATTGAATGTTCATATTTGTGTCGATTGCCTTTTCTTTGTTTCAGGGCTGTCCTCTTGTGTAAATTCAATATACTTATTCCACAGATATGTGTTAAAACCTACATTTTTTTTATCACATTTCAATTTAAAATCATTAGTTAGCTATTTCAGACGACGTCATTAAGGCCCAGAGAGCCACTTTCAGCTGCAGGCCCTAAACTCACCAACCCGGCTGTAAAACATGGTGGCGGCAGCATCATGCTTCGGGACGCCTTTCTCCAGGTAGTCGGAGTTGATGAGAAGACGGATGAACCCCCATGCAAGGCTGACCTATTAGAGGCTAAAGAAAAAGCCTCCAGATGATGTTGGAATCCTTTAAATCAAAGCGTAGTCAAATGGCCTAGTCGAAGTTCAGACGTGAATCAAGTTAGGAATTTCAAGGAGAACTTGAAAAACGGATCCTCCTGGATGCTCTCCATCCATTCTGGCTGAGCTTGAGAGGAAACTCAAATGCTGTTGTTTGTTGTGACTGGTTTTCTCTCTCTCTCTAGAGGCAGACCTCTGGGATACTGACTTGTGTTCCTCCTCTATCTTCCAATCATATCTCCTCCTTTCTTTTCTAACCCTTTTGTCCACCTTTCTTCTTTGTTCATTACGTTTGACATAAACCTCCCAGCAGTTTCGCAGCAGAGCATCGCGGTGAAAGCTGCAGCTCTCCACTCGCGAAGGTGAATCTGTTGTGACGCTCAGCTGCCAGATTGGACGCGTTGAAACCAACAAAATAAAACCGACACGTTCAGGTTTCTAGGGGCGTGAGAGCCTTAAACGTGACGCCCTGTGTGGAACCGCGCCTAAACTCTGGGGATTGCAGTGCCAGCCGCTTTTATTGTGAAAGCCTCCTCCGGAAGTTGTGTGTGTAAATGTGTGTGTGTGTTGTTTTCTGGCTCTGTGGAGCCTTAGAGCCCGGTGTTGAGCAGCAGCTGCAGCTCAGTGCGCCGCGCAGAGATGGAGGAAGAGCTGGCCGCCGCGCAGCGCCTGTAGACCGGACAGGAGAGCGTCGGACGAGCCGGTGGGGAGGGGCGGAGATGGGGGCAGACTAACCATGGCTGAATCCACCGACTGAACATCCTCACTGGAAAACACCGGGATCGCCTCGGAGATCCGATGAAAGCGTGTTGAGGTGAGTGCTGCAGCTGCTGCTGCTGCAGCTGCTGCGTTTGGACCTGCTTTTATCCATCCTGACACCTTCTTTATCTCCCGACGCGCGTTGCGTCCTGAAGGACAATAATAATAATAATAATCATCATCATCATCATCATAACAACGCTGATCGTAAAGATGCAGGATTCGTGAATAATCTGCTTGTTTGTTGCGCCTCCGCTTCGTTCAGCGTCCGCGGTGAAACCTGCGGGAAGGTTCGGGTTCGGATGGCAATGGGCCGGATCGGAGCGGAGGACGGGCTGCGCATGGGGCTCTGCATGGCGAGAGGGAGGGAAGAGGAGGGGGTCACGGTGTGAAAAGAGAAAGCAGGGCTTCTCCGATAATCCACTTAGGAGGCTTAATTGAAGGAGCACAGTGTGGCCCGGTCCGGCCCGCTCCGGTCCGGCCCGGTTGGATGGTTCTGTGATCCGCAGTCATTTGTTCCCATTCATCCGGACCGGGAGCTGTCAGCCATTCAGCAGGAGGCGGCCGCCCCGCCGACTCCCATTCATGAAGCCACGCAGCGCGCAGGCTGCACAACAATCCACTGTGGGCTTTAAATAGGCCTGCAGCGGCCCGGTTTCAGGCCTGCTATCGACTTTCTCTCGTGTGTCAGCAGACAGACAGTTAATATGAAGCCCTAATAAGTCTGATTTCTCTCTGCGACCGAGGAGGCCCTGCTGGCTGTGAGGCGTTCACGGCCCGATCAGCTGGAGGGATCCGGTTCCGGTTCCGTGGTCAGAAAGCAGTTTGTGCTGTTGCTCCCTGGAAATCGGGGCGTTTTGGGATCTGGAGTGAAAACTTGTCCATTTTGACTCATTTTAATGTCAGGTTGGTTTTTCTAAGCGGAAAAATCCAAGTTGTAAGACGAGTCCTGAAGATACCTGTTGACCTTTGGCCCCCTGGGTCCCTCAGAGAGCATCTACAGACTGACTCTTGATCCTGAATTTTACAATCAATACCTCGATAACGCCCATCCATCCTGACATGTGTTTAAAGCCCGGATTCTGCTGAAATGTCACTTCGGGAATTTTGACATATAACATCTTCAGGAACATCTTTTTACGCTTTCTGAAAAAAAAAAAAAACCAACATAAAATCACACAGACATCAATAATAGTTTTAAACGGCTGATCCGGTCATCCTTCGCTCAGAGCCACGAGGTCCAAACCCCAAATGAACTCAAGTCAAAGTCGGCCGAGCTTTTTGTGTTTCGTTTCATGGTTCAAAATGAAACGAGACGCTACGATCCAACAACAAGGAGCTTCTTGTTCACTCAAAACTATTGGATGGAATCAGATTTACTCCTCCTTGAACGATCTCATCACGCGTTATTAAATATCGACGTTTGCTGCTGACAGGAGCGTAACGTTCGAATACGTTTTTGTTTTGCAGACGCCTAATGTTTCAGCTGTCTCAGAGTTTCCTTTGGACTTCCTCTGCTTTCCTGTCCCGACATCAGAACCGCAGTGACACATTTTGTAGCTTGCCGTTTAATTAATGGAGCAAACCAACAAGTAGAGGATAGAAGACATAATTTCATGCCAGCTGCTTTTATTTTGTATCTGTAGTCAAACCTAGTTGGCTTCTGTTTATTTGCCCCTTAACTTAAGCATTTGAATCATCCGTGGCAATAAATGACCTTAGAAATGGCTCGAATTTGAATTGTGATGCATTTCAAGTGAACGCTGTTTTCTGAAGTTTCTCCTTCTGCTCATTGCTCTGATGTCTGTTTGAACCAGATGACAAAATGTGGGAAAAGCAATTCTGATCCCTGACTGCCATCCTTTCGTGGAGTAACGGAAACGTCTGCTGCACAGCAGAGAGGAGGATTTTATCAAAGAAAATGGATCAAATTAGCATTAAAAAAAGAAGAAGCTGGAACAGAAGTAAAGAATAACATTGCAAGTAAAGCGACACAAATGAAAAATGAGTCTTAAATTGAATCTTTGTGAAAGTGGCTTCGAGAGTAAAGGGGCTGAACTTGTGAAGGTTCAGTTCGTAGCATGTTTTTGGTCACTTTACCTCAGTAGTGACATGCAGACAAAAATGTGAAGGTAGAGGCTTCCCCACACAAAGCTTTTGCAGTTTACCTATGCAAATAGTGTCACAAGACTTTCAGTCTCAATTCTGGGTCAATCTGTTCCTGCTTTAAGAAACGTCCACAACAACCTGCAACCTGAAGGATCCATCGTCCCTCAGTTCAGGGACGTCAAACTAATTTTCGGTTTGGGCCAAATAAGGATGAATGCTGTTAAAGGGCCGGTTGTGCCAGAATGTATTGATGAAACCACTCCGCAAACTGATGAAATATCAATATTTAAAACTAAACAATATTTTTGATCTTTTCAGTCCTTCAAGGATTTCGTGATGCTTTTTGTGATTTTTTTTTTTTAAATGTATATTTTTTGCAGTAAAAATCAAAGGGTTGGCGATACTAAATTTCAATATTTGTGCTTATTGATCTTGGTACATATCACTTTTTATTACTCTGTGCAGATCAAGTACTATTGTCTGACATCCATTAAGGCTGAAGGAGCTGATTAGTACAAGTAAGCAAGTTTTTGAGAGAAATCTGCAATGAACTCCCATTTAAATATTAATGCAAAAAAGTGCAGCGATTTGTTGATTTTACGTGAATTTTCACAATAACTTGAAACTGATAAAAACTGCATTGATAACATAATATTTAAGCACATCTAGAGTTTAGTCTAGGATCTAGAGGGCCACACAAAGAGCTATGGCGGGCTGGATTTGGCCCGCGGGCCTTTAGTTTGACACCTGTGCATACAGTAGATTATCCACTGTATGCCTTATTATTAAAACCTCCATGCTGCTGATAAAACCTGTCAAATTGTGTCTGCTTGGTCATTTCTCCCATGTTCACAGTTGCACCTTTGTCGCAGGCTGCTTGTAGCAAACGCACAAAGATCCAGTTACTGATTGGTTGCAGATGCAAAACCGGTTCATCCCTCAGCGATTCACGTGGGAAGGGTAAAGCATACGCAGTTAAAAGATAAAAGTTAATAAATAAGCTCAAATCCTCTAAAAAGCATTAAAAAGCATGGATCCACTCTGCTTTTTGAAATATCACAGGTGAAACATTTTGTCAACAAAAAGTAAAAAAAAATAAAAAATAAAAAATGCTGGATAAACCAAGACAAGAGGGGATATAACACAAAGCGACTGAACCGACTTCCTGTTGCTGTTTCCTACATTAACCAAATTTAATCCCGGCTAGTGAAACATAAAGCGGGTTCTGGAGCGTTCCTCTGCTTCCGCGCGGTCCCGCGAGAGGCCTGTGGTCATCTGTGGAATCAGTTAGACCTGGTGGGTGAGAGACAGGAAACACAAGTCAGCGGTGCAATGTGCATCTCCCACGCAGTCCGTCCTTTATCGCCGGCTGCCATATGGATGCCTGAGCTCACTCCACGCTTGCACTGTCAAACCTCGCCAGAGAAAGAGAGGGAGAGGGAGGGAGACGACGGTCTGGCTGGAGAGGCTAATTAATGTGTTTAATATGTGTGCGGTGAGGCTCTGCTCTCCACGTTATTGGAAGAGGATGGAAATCCCTCTCTGCCCCCATCGCAGGTAAACCGGAAAAGCACTTAGGTAATTTGGTGCAGGGGAAATCAGCCTCTCCTCATCATGTCTGGATTCTTATCTGTGGTTTGCAGTAACATACTGTAAACACGCCCATGGTCTCCTGCACAGAGACAGTGGCTGCATGCAGCGGGGTGTATCAGTGTCTGGATCGGGGCTGGATCCCATTCATGATGTTCGTCTGTCTGCCAGAGGGAGGGGGAAAAAAAAGAAAGAAAAAGGAAAACCCCCCCTTTTGTCCGTGTGTGTTTCTGATGGTGAGACGTTCAGGCTATTTACGAACAGGCGAGGTTATCGGTGATCGGGTTAAAGGTCACAGAGCAACCGGTCCGAAGGCAGCAGATCTAAAACTAAAAGAAGGGGGGAGTTTATCTCAGCTCACCCCTATTTCTGCTTTTCCTCCTGCTGCCACGTCTCACCCCTCGTGTGCCGTCTCGAATCTTTGATCACCCGCTCATGGGGATCGCTATCGTCTGTCTCCATCTCCTCCGGTTCTCTTTGTCACTTCATCTTTTGTGGCAGCAGAGTTCCCCGTCACACGCCCACACACACACTCCCACATACGATACCTTGCAAAAGTATTCACACACCCCAAGCTTTAGTGACAGGCCAACACAAAGCCACAGAGATGCAACATGTAAGGAGAGTGATGTTTGCTTTTCAGTTTCTATGAATGCAGATTTGTGAAAAGTGTTGTTCACAGTTTGATTTTGGTCTCATCTGACCAGATCACCTTCCTTCACATTTTTACTGTGTCCACAACATGCTTGGGAGCAAAAATACTTTTGTGACGGTCTGCAGTGTCTCGGTGGGTTTGGAGCTGTTGCCATGTTGAGAAGAAGGTCTGACCGCTACTTTGTGAAACGTCCAAAGTTGGAGATAATGTCCTAAAACCCGGCTTGTGATTCTTGGTCTGTATGACGGTTTGTTCCCTAACGCCGTCTGAGATTAAATTGAAAAAGACCTCTGACTGTAGTTGCATTTTCTCTTGGGGTTTCTGAGTAAAGAGTGAAGATCAAACCACAGCTCCCACGATTCTTGTCATTAAAACACGCGTTGTTGTCACAGTCATTCACTACTTTGTGTTCTCCTATAACTTCAAATCAAATTTAAAAAAAAAAATGTTTAAGTTGTCGTCGCAGTTTGAATCTTTTCTGCTCCATAGCGACTCTATGAAAGTTTCATATCAAGCCCGCAAATGCAATGACGTTAACCTCCAGGGAGCCGGGTATGAAAAAAATCTGGGCATGCACAATATGTCAGCACCAAATATGTATGATTCATAATATATATAATATTTAATTTCATGCATCCTTAGCAACTATTGTCTTCCATTGTGAAAGATTGTTGTCTCTTATCTTATTAGATCTGTTCAAC